CGCCGGCCGGGGGTGAGGCCAAGCTCCGGGGCGAGCCCTCGCGGGCTTGCGGCGGACGGCGGAGTCACGTGCCACACGCCCGTCACACCGTTGCGCTCACGACTGCAAGTGACGTGCAGCAGCCGAGGGCGTACTCGGGTCACGTCGCTGTGCAAACGGCTGCAGGCGGGGGACGACTGTGCCTCTCCAGGTGCCTATACTCCTATAGCTTGTAACATACGTAAATGACGTATTTTTTTCCTTCCGTCTCGTACTCAAAATTAAGTGACCGAGTTGCTCTGACTTTAAAGTTACAGCAAAGAGGAAAAACCGCTTCAAGTATATGCACGGCACAGAACGTTTTAGTTTAATTTACCACAAAATTTTAAAGCGTAATTTTAAAATAATAGAGCTCACAGAGCTTAATAGGTAAGTAACAACCATAGTTTTACTTAAAACTTACATCAAAAACTTGAAGGGGTTTTGGTGTTTCGACCTCTGCGCGTCACTTTCAGTAGCTCAAACTACCTGTAAGTACAGGGATACGATTCTCCAGGCGTTCGCAGACGGCTGCAGCGAGCCCCGCCGCGATGGAAGTCAGGCTTCAGACCACCACCCAGGGGAGCAGCGCAGGCACCCGGCTTCCTTTGCAAACGGCCTTTTCGTGACAAGGTGGGGAAGTGGTAAATGCGCGTCTCGCAGCGCGCTGTTGCTCCGTGCTCCTGCCCAGTACAGACAGGATTTCAAAGTTACAGGAAGGTTCACTTTTCTTCAACAGAAGCCAGTCAACTATGTCGCTAAGCCCAGCATAAAACTAATTTCTGATTTCTAACTGACAGGTACTTCTCATTCCAAATTAGCCCAGGATCCCCTCTGCAGGGCCTTCGCAGGTTTGCTCTCAGTTTTTGGTCCCCTCCTTTCAGAAACCTCTAAGCAGGTAGCACCAGTACGAGAGAGGCCATGCAAGTTCCTTTGGAAACACTCCGTTTCTGAAGGCTTAAAAACACTTGAAAGTTATTTTTTTCAACCACAAATACCAGCTACAGTTGTCCCCGCACACTGCCAGAGTACATTTTCCTGGGGCTTGGGTTTCCAAAAACCATCAGTCTGCAACACTCCTCTCCCCGTCCCCTACCAGCTCAGGGACGGGCCAGCTAAATCCCTCGTGAACAGAGCTTTCTTGAAGAACGCTTTAAGCTCCATTTCTGGAGGAGAGGTCTAATAAGAAACAATATCCTGGCCCTTACCCATACTGGGTTTATAACACGTCCAACTCCTCCTCCTTGAAAATCACAAGGAGGTAGTGGGGGCGGGGGGAGAAAACCTCTGCAGGTTACAGTAGTTTTGGTCAGTTTTTCTGTGCAGCCAAAGCCTCGGCCTTTTTTATTTATTTTTGTGGTCACAGCAAGTACTAGTGGGAGGGAAGAATATGAAGGGCTTTTATGAGGCTACTGCTACTCAGAAGGCAACTTCTCCCCTCTCTCACACCAACCTACTTACAGACCGTTTCTTCCACTGCAGTCCTGACACCAGAACTAATTCAAGCCAGCATGCAAGTGAAACAGTATCCTCATCACAGATTTTCCTTTGCTAATCTAAGGACTTGCCTGCATCAAGAAGAGGAATCCTCCTTTTAGCGTTTAAGGAGGGAGGAATTAACTTACCATAGAAATTAACTCCTTGGGAAATTTCTTCTTTCACCTATTGAACTTCCAGACTGGCTGGGGGAAAGGTGATATTTAAGCATATGTTCTCACCTCGATGAAGTTTCTCTGTGGGAGTTTCATAGCCTATTCATTCAGAAAAGCTAGGCGGAATATTTCATTTAGATGGTATGATTTCTTAATATAAGTCAGCAGAAAAAATCCGGTATGATCTTGTCTTGACAGAATAAAACACTTCCTAAGACAGTGTAGGCCTATAGTGTTTTTTTTCCCCAGACTACTTAAACGAACAGAAGAATTGTTTATTCTACTGATTATGTATGCCCCTAGGAAACCTCTCCATTCTACTTGGACTGATCTGTGGAAAATACTTAGCGTCTGCTTCTCCATTCTCACTGCTGAGATTTTTTTTTCTTCAAGGTCAGTCAAAGATTCTCTGCCTCAAGACAGTAAGCGTGCCTGTATTTTCTTAGTAGTACTTTTGATTCTGCTATTGTATCCAAATCAGTATGCAGAGATATTTACATTAACTATTACCATCTAAAATCTAGGAACAGGCAGAACCACTGCAGTTTATTCTGCAGCAAGGGCACTTGCTGCCTACATTGTCAACCCATGAATCTACTCTGAATTTTAAACCGACACACAGAAGCACCCCATGACTGGAAGTCACTTCAAAGTTACAGGAAGGTTTTCGGCAGGGATAGAGTTAATTTCCTTCCTAGTAGCTGGTGCAGTGCTGTGTTTTGGATTTAGGGTGAGAACAATGTTGATAACACACCGATGTTTTAGTTGTTGCTAAGCAGTGCTTACACCAGTCAAGGACTTTTCAGCTTCCCATGCTCCACCGACTGAGAAGGCTGGGGGTGCACAAGAAGCTGGGAGGGGGCACAGCCAGGACAGCTGACCCAAACTGGCCAAAGGGACATTCCATACCATGTGACATCATGCTCAGTATATAAAGCTGGGGGAAGAAGGAAGAGGGGGGACGTTTGGAGTGATGGCGTTTTGTCTTCCCAAGTAACCGTTACGCGTGATGGAGCCCTGCTTTCCTGGGGATGGCTGAACACCTGCCTGCCCATGGGAAGGAGTGAATGAATTCCTTGTTTTGCTTTGCTCACGTGTGCAGCTTTTGCTTTACCCTTCCGATTCTCTTCCCCCATCCCACTGGGGGGGAGTGAGCGAGCGGCTGTGTGGTGCTTAGTTGCCGGCTGAGGTTAAACCACAACAGATTCTAAGAACAAGATAATTAACTCCTCCCACATGAGAATTAATTTGTGCACCCACTCAAGTAGGTAACTGACCTAGTTATATGTAAAATGTAGTAATTCAGACTGCTTCTTCAGAGACCTTAACGGTCTGAGACACTTAGATACAAACTTCTCTAAACATCCGAGACAGTATTGACTGAGCAGTCAGCAAACCCGATGTGTTTTTAGAAATCAACTTCCTCGAAGAGCAGCAAATTAGCGGCAGTGCAAGAAAGACTGCCGGGCTATCAAGCAAATTGCAGTTATAGCAAAAAAACCCAACCAAACAGAAAAATCCCAAACACCAAAAAAAAAAACCCCAAAACAAACCCACCCTAGATTTTTTACGAAGCACTTCATAAATACATTGGTGAAAAACATTTAATGGTAAGAATACATGCATGCATGCAACTTCAACAAAAAGGCCTGAATAATTTGGATAGTGTTTTGGTTCAGTACCATGAAACTTGAAGTGAAAGGTAATATAGTTCACTGTTCATGGCTTCCAGATTAAGTCTAAAAATTACATTTCCCTTCTTTTTTCCTGAAAGAGTTTTGTTTGGGAATATGTACCAGAGCAACAGCGTACACAAAAGAGAGATATGTATCTATATATACAATTTTATTTTATTAACAAGGTATGTCATTACTGAACAAGGCAACTGGGAAGTACAGGGACTGGACATACACATGAAAATTTTACAACTCGACAAAAAATTGGCATATGACTTATATACAGATGTGATTAATAAAGGTTACAAGTCTACTGTATTTGATTAAACACGGTCTAAGCACTTACGTTATGAAAATATGAAGTTGCTCATACAGAGGTCAAGTTCTGAAATCTAAAAAGAATAACAATTTAAAAACTTCAAAACCTTCTATGTCCATCCATTTTACAGAACAACACTACAGCTTTTCCTACTACCATATACATGAAAGATTATCAAAAATATATTGATGGGTCTATCGCTAATCATGGATGTTTATATTTACATTAAGTTAGCAAATTCTTCACCAAATACTTTATATACAAAACTTAATTTGCCCTTTGTGAAAGTGTCATTAAAAAGTTAAAAACCATAGAAATGCCAGTTAGAAATAATGCATTCTAAAAATTGGACTTGTTTACAACAACTGAGAACAATTGAAAATAATTTATGAAAAAGTATGTCATTTTAGTACAAGTACTCTCACAACACTTTAGT